ATATGTTTATGCATGGGACTAGCATATTGCACTCTCGTGAAAAGGGAATATAGCGTTGAATACAAACTATAAAAACCATTAATATTTAAATTTTACAAGTAGACAAATTTTAAGCCTTCAGATAACTATAATTCTTTATATAGTACCTTGCTATTGTAGGGCTAACCCATAATATAAAGGCATGACTGTTGTGTGCTTTAATTACTCCACAAGAAATAAGGGGCAAGGGATATTGGTAAACAAGTATTACCAATCAATCCTATTCCCTTTTAATTATAATGTCCACTGTGGTCAAAGCAAAGCACCCTATAATAATTATTATTTACTCTCTAACAGCAGATGATCTTACTCATCAAGGGCAATTTTGTACCTTGATGAGTAATACGCATACAAAGTACTAAACTGTTTCATTACATATTTTATGTCTGAACCTTTGACATTGCAACAAAATAAGTTTGGGTGGGGTAAAAAAATTTTCTGGCATTCCACCGGTGGGGTAGCTAGAAATTTTGTTTCGAAAAAGGTGGGGTAATGATTTTTTCCGGCTTCATTATACTTTCTCTTCGGCCCCCACCCCTGCCATAAATAATGACCGGTCCCTTATCGTCTTTGATTTATGTTTGTTATAGTTTGTTTTCATTAAGGTTGGTCTTCATATGGCGCTATTCATGTCCTGTTGACCATACCTTCAACTATATTATGTAGTTTTTTAGTCTATTTTATGTATGGTTGTAAAGTAAATAAATAAATAAATAAATATTGCTCGTACATTTTGATGTAACTCATTCCACAACACTAGTTCGTTCGCGGTTTTGGCACAAATCAAGTGTTTTCAGAGCTTCTCAAATTGTATCCTGTGCTGCGGGATTCAAACAATTCACGGAGATAATGCGGAGTTAATTCATTAATTGTTTTAAAAACATCAATATAGCTTTTTCCATTTTCGTTTCTATTATATAGTTTGCAAACAAAGAGTAAAACTTCCACTATTACTGTAGCTAGTTGTTAAAACAAACAATGACTTCCTGCCAAACTTGCTATCGCATTTCAGTGTTTACCTTAATCGTGAACTATCTTCAGCTTTCAACCGAATGGAGAGGTCCAGCGAGGAATCTGGACTGGCATCACAGCTGGTGGTCGAACTAGGTGCCTGGACTTCGACGTCTGGAGCAGGAGGTCTCATCTCGCCGCTGACGTCAGCGTCTTCACTTTGTCGTTGTTCCACTTTGCCACATATTACATCTAACATATAGTACAGAGCTAGAAGCATGCAGAAACCACTGACCAGCAATAATATCTACAAATACAGTGGCAGAATGTTAATATGAGCATGTTATATAGAATACAGGGTTTCCAATGAATGTTTGATCAATGTTTGTAAATCGGATAAAGATTTCTCCTGATTTACAGAAACTCTAGCTTCGAATTTCTCGGCATTACAAACCCAACTTACCGTGAGTAAACGCTCGCTTAAAATACTTTTATCTTCAGAGGCGGAGATTTGAACACACGGTGTTGTCTCGTTGCTGGTCAAGTAGCGACCAGTAAAAGCGTCTGCGGCCAAACTGTAGTGATGAAAAAAAGAGTGAGTAAAGCCCAGGGCAAACTAGGAAACATTGTTGCGGAAACATTGTTTCCTACCAATGTTTCGCCATGTTTCCAGGAGTGGGCAAACACTAGGAAACATTAATGAGAAACATATGGAAACATCAAATGTTTCTAAATTGAATGAATTCGCTAGGAAACATTTTTGCTTCTCGGGAAGCAAATTTTGTTTCCGCAACAATGTTTCCACGGGTGGGCAAACAGGGAAACATTTGAGGAAACATCGAGAATCACAAATGTTTCCACAACAACGTTTCCTAGTTTGCCCGGGGGTTAATAATTTTACATTTCCAGTGTACAAGTTCCATTGCACAGTACAGTACATGCTTACACGCGCATGGCAATCAAAATATGAACCTTCCCACTGTAACATGAAGGACGTTTAATAGCCATAAGATCAATTACAACAATCGATCGTCATAATAATCCGATTCACACTCTTACGTTTGTCTCCGTTTGATTTCCTCTGGAGTCATCGAGGAACCGTAGAGAGTCAACCTCCAATTTCGTACATACCCCTGACAAGTGTCGTCGAGACCTGAACAAAACAACGACTCAATATACACCCTTTCGATAATTACGTCACACATACTTTTTGGTCTTGGAGCCTCGCTCTCATTAGTAAATTACGCAAGATGATTGGCTCACGATTCATGAGAGCGAGGCTCCTAGGCCAAATGACGTAATCAATGAAAGGGTGTATTTTAATCCACATTTTTCCAATATCAGTGTCAACCATGTATCGAGAAACAAACCTTGCTTTTCATTTGGTTGCGCCTGTCCTGATCAAGTCAAGGCAACCTACTGTATGCACAACCACGTACCCAAGGACCTACCCGCCCGATTTTTTAATATGGCCGCCAAATCCCTGGGTACGAGGTTGCTGTATGCAAATCAGTAGGGAGCTTTAGATTTGACTACGAGTACGACTACGAGTACGAGATTCGTCAAGCTAAACGCATGCTGTATGCTTACGCCATCCCGTACTGACGCTAAAAAGTCGTAGCCGTCGCCCATCTGAGTACGAAATTGTGGAGAAACCTCGTAGTCCTCACGACGACTTTTAAAAAAAAACAAAGAAAGTTGGCTTTTTTTGTTTTCCAAAAATAATTTGTAGCATTTATATAGCGTTTATCCGGCGCAAATAGTATATTAGTACTAAATATCTGGCCTGTTTTTAATGTTATGACTTATTTGCACGTTTTGCAGGGATTTTAGTCAGCAGGAGATTTAGTTTATGAAACTTTTTCTCTCGCTGTTGATTTACTGTTATAAGGGACTGGTCCTTATTTATGGCGGGGGGTGGCACCGAAGAGAAAAGGGTTGGGTAAACAAAATTTTGAGTAAGTAAAAGGTTGGGTAAATGAAAAACAAAACAACTCAAGGGTTGGGTAATAAAAAATTATTGTCATATTTCCAAAGCATGACTCACTGTAAATTGGAGACTGAAACGCAATGTCAACATTCATATGCTTATACAATATGTGAATCAATCAGAGTCACTATCTTGATCATTTTCCGATTTGTTGGGAGACAAGTGGTTCTCCAAAGAAAGTACATGTACAGACAACATGAAAATTGCACAATCCGTTATCAAACTCGTGTCACAGAAGTGGTAAAGGACATGTGCGACAACTGAATGGTATCCTTTTGTAAAGGTTTTGGCCAGGGGTGGGTATTTATGTTTTAATTTATATTTGAGGTTGGGTAATCAATTTTTTGACTTTTTAATGGTTGGGTCAGCAAAGTTTTTGCCACGAAAAACATTTCTCTTCGGTGCCACCCCCCACCATAAATAATGACCGCTCCCTAAAAGCAACATTTGAATGGAAACGAGAACGACTACGGTAATTTCCTCGCACGCGATCAAATCTCGTACTCGTAGTCGTACCCGTAGTCAAATCTAAAGCTCCCTAGTGTTTAACATGGCTGCAGAGGTCAGGGAGCCACGAAGCAACGCCACCTCCAAATCTAAAGAGTACTGTAAATCCATATTCAAAACAGTGCCACGGACGGGGAGTGAATTGTTGGTTGTAAACATACGACCACCTTTTGTAGCCGGAAATCTTAGTTATTTAATTTTTTGCCTTGAATTTTATGCAATATTTATTATTTATCATTTTTAGACCCGAAACGAGGGGGATTCGACGAAATATTACCCGAAGTGATGATATTTCCCGAGGGGCTTTGGGTCTATATAAATTATATATTATACCGAAAGTTAAAGAACACACTTCAGTTATAAGAATAAACTTGCTGAATAACCTATGGAATAACTACATTATATTGGTCATCTTGAGTTGCGAGCAGGCACAAACGGATTATACTGTAATTACCCGAGTTAACGATAATGATTTGCCACATTCCATAGGGCTGCTCGCCCCAACATCTCACAGTTGAGAAGGTCCAATCGATAAACCCCTCCGAAGACCTAAAGAGAATGTTTAAATTATGAATATACCAGTTTCCCTTTTAGATACAGGTGTCAGGGGTTAAAAAATGGTCCAGAGGTACCATACTGGCGTACGTTCTACAACTAAGTTGGTGCACGGTTAATAGATCTAGTTCTATTAACCGTGGTTGGTGTATGTTTCATCGATACTGACGTATACGATCTTCTAAACCAGATCCACACATGTTCTCTGTTGTGTTCTCTGTTCTAAGTTTAAAGTAATAGTCAACTTACTTTTTGCGTACTAAAAGCACACAGATATAGTTAAGGCTAGATGGTATTTTATCTTTTTATATATTTTTTTCATTTAAATAATTACGATATTTTTAGCAGATTTAAATTGGAACATTGGTAGCTAAACGCAATTGGAAAAACGGCGCAAACGCACAATTTTGTTACTTTTTTTCACTCACCTATCCTGCTGTCTCTCCGTAGCAAGTTTGGATTCAGTTCCAGCTGGGGAAATCAAGGATACCAATACGCTGCCGCGGTACTTGTGATCAATGTTGACCTGAAATAGCAAACAACATATTTAAACGGAAAATAGTCATTTTGAACGAAAAATCGAATCATTTAAGCCCTGAGCGGTTACAAAAAGTCAACTTACTACAGTTCAAGAACAGATTTTGGTGGAAATAGTGGGGGAGGTGGGAAAAAATTTAGGGGAGGCGCAGCGGTCTAGCTCACGACCCCCATGGAAAGTTAGGGCTTAGAACGGGCCAAAGTCAACGACGTGACGTATGCATGTAGTGTACATATGTATCAGTGTATTAATGAATTACGACTGTACAACTCATCCAATTTTGCCTTTCATTACAATTACTACACAGTTTCTTTCGAAACATTGCATTAAAAGGGTACTTGACACAGAGATGAATGGCTATCACTGTTTCAATTTTACAGAAAAACTTTCTTACGAAGTGTAGACCCTAAGCAACCAAAAATGTCAAATTTTCACTTTGATCTATCATTTAAAGCTAAATTTTAAACTTTCCCAAGGGGAGGTGATTGACTTTTCAGGGGAGGTGCAAAAATTCCCAGGGGAGGTGCAAAACGATCTCACGGGAGGTGCGCACCTCGCCACAAAATCCGGCCATGCTAGAGTTTGTTGCATTCAAGCACTCTCGCGTTATCAAAAATGTTGCTACAACGGGAAAATTAGAATTGCCGCAACTCGATAACTCATTACTAAACTTTACTGTTTATTTCACTTTCGCCCCAATTGTCTCCTTTCAATGTTTGCCTGTTTTAGCATGGCATGCACACATGAAGGTTATATCCCATGTTTCCTGCATGAATACGTGTCTCTTTGATCAAGACCCAATCACAAATAACCACATGAAAACGAGGACATTGTTGCTACACAAATAATGCCAACATACTGTAAGCGTGACGTGTTCCAAAGTTGATAATTCGACTAAGTTCCTCTTTTGAACTATAAAACGAAATAGACGAAATTAAAATAAAACCATAGAAGTTGCACCCAATTTATGACCCGGAATTGCCTCAAACCTACAAGACAGTATATACGTGTCAAACGACATCAAGCCGGGCTGGATTTACTGGGGAGGGATGGGGGGTTGCAGGAGGCTCCAAAAAGGGGGGTACATATATACATACATGCATACAAACTTTATTTATTCACGCTAGCCTCAACAACATTACAAGCTGATTTTCATGAGGGGCGAGATAGAAGGGGTGTGTGGAAGGGGCTGTGGGGGTAGCTTCCTCTTAGGGTTGGGCGATATTTCGATATTTTGATTTATCGCGATATTTTCAATCACGATTATCGTATCGAAGGCAGAAACTTGAGCGACGATATATCGAAAATATCGTCATGCTCGATGACTATCGTGATATTGCTTCACATGTGTATATAACTGTTATAAAATCCTAAAAAATTCTTTCAATTCCCTAGAAAATATAATTTTTAAAAGAATTAAAACTATTTCCTGAATTAAATACGAATTTAATACGATACAAAAGCTAACATTTATAATCTGCTGAACAATGGAATTGCAGGCTTTTCTTGCGCTGTGGTGGCCACAGCATTTGTGCCAGCAGAGACGCAGTAGACACTGCATAGACAGTTCTGGTTTACGAACAGTAAATATTAGACTAGAAAAATCCTTCATATATCTCTTTAATTTGTTGTTTTACTTGTTTTTAATAAGATTATATAAAAGCTTACTATGCAATGATATTAATTAAAATTGAAAAATGTGGTCATTGTTTTTATTGCATTTATCGCGATATTATCGAATATCGTGATAATTTCCTTGACAATAATCGTGAGATAATTTTTTTAATATCGCCCAACCCTACTTCCTCTAGTAGTGATTACACACTTGGCCACCCTGAGTCATGAGCAAAGTTCGATGAACACCCCCGCACCTCTCGTCCTGGTGCAGGTGGAACCATCCCTGTTATCAAGTCAGTCCCATGCTATTCACTCACACCACTAGTGTTCGTAAATAAAGTTGCGTTGTTCGTTGACTTGTTCTTACTTCAAGTTATTCCTTGACTTTTTTTAATGCTACAGTATGTACTATTTAATATTTAGTTCTTTGTTTGTAACATGTTTGTATTTTTGTAAGGGAACCTCGGTTTTATAGAAACGCCCTACATTTTGGGCAAAATATGATAAATATATAAACAAACAAAAACAAACCAAGGTGAAATCATAATACTGGCTAAATTATATACCTACCTATATACTCTTCAATTAGCTGGTTACTTCCAGTTGGTATGTATTGGTTGACAAGAACGATTGGTGTAGACCATGACGTCATCCAGGGAACCGATGTCCAAACCTAAAAAGTAAAATTCATGCAGAAATGGTAAGGCAAAAAAATATATGTGGGTTTCCGGTTCCCGGACCCTACCTAGCTTTTGGACGCCGAAATTCCGACCCTAAACTTTTTTATTGGATCATGCTTGTAAGTGTTTCCACTTAGAGGAAAACGTTTCTGAAAAATGGAAATTTGAGGCAATATCAGGGGAAATGTTATCTTTGAATGTGGAAGCACTGACTAAACAAAATGGCGTCCGGTTGTTAGGAAAATAAAAAAAAGAGTTTAAAAAAAAAGTTAAAATCGACCTACACTACCTAAGTTTTTACAAGAAGAAATAGGAATTGGCCTAATTGACGAATAATCATGCAGATGGTTGTAAAACAAAGTGTTCGGCAGTACTTACTTTTGCGAGATTAACTAGTCGCCAGGAATCCATTAGACCAAAGCCATACTTATGACTGTGATGAAAACCTGCCCCGTTTGTAGTGTAATCGAGGGTATCAACATCATGCTAAAATTTTAAAACACCTTTAGGTAAGCGAAGATGTGCTAATCATCCTTACTTGCACCTGAGAGCTAAGCTGAATTGCGAAAGACGTAGCTCAACCTGATCCAGTCAAAGACTTTCTAATCTAAGGGCGCCTCTGGAAGCCACCTTATGACTCAAGTCTGATCACGGAACACAGCTACGGTGGAATGGTGAGTTAGGGGCTAATTCCAACCCACCCTGTCAACATTCCCTGTGGGAGGAAACCGGAGAATCCGGAGAAAACTCACGACTTTCGGCAGAGCGTTGACTGACTCTTTTCACATAAGTGTCATGAGTCCGTACTCTGTAGCGAGAATGGGTCATTCCAGAAAACATCCATACCACCCCCACGGAGGAAATTGGAAGTTAACCCCCCTACCCCCTTCGGATGTCCTAATACATTTACTATTATCACAAACAATTTTGTCTCCCCTCCCCCTCCAGAAATTTCCTCCGTGGGGGGAGTGTGGATCTTTTCTGGAATGACCCAATCGAACCCACGATCTTTGAGTTGAAAGGCGCTTTCTCTGACAAATGTGCCAGCGAAACACCGTTTTGTTGAGCATTGTTGTTTTATCGTAAAATTGATCACTGTTCAACTAGCAAACACACGAACACCAACTAGTACGACTTCTCGCTGACCGGCGTCGGAAAAACCGCCGGAGCTCCGGCAGAACTCCGGCTCCGGCAACTCCGGCGCACAGCACTACTCGCTGTACACACTTACCTTGACCGAAGAGTGCACAATCAAATGTTGAACATCCCTCCAAGACAAACACCACCTACGCAATAATAAAATGTATAACATTTAGGGCAACCAGACCACTCGTACTGGAATTTTGGACTGTACAGTGGGTTAGAGCGGTATTGAGTTTCGAAATTTAACACTCTGCAGGAATTTTTATTTTTTTAAGTTCTAGTTTTTCTCCGCCTCTTCGTTTCCCATTTTATAGGGACCATTAGCAGAATAAGCATTATACACGCATGGCCTCGACTGCATTCTTTTGAAAACTGACAGAAACTTCAAACATTACATAAGACTGAATAAAACTCAAATGAAATCAATGAATCTTGGCGTCAAAGCTACTAAGCTAGTGTATGTATGTATAAGGTTAGGATTCAGTAATTCTGCAAATGGTCTATATACAGGTATACCGTTATTAGCATGCGTAACATACAGTAAATACAGTACATCACCTCGTTTGAAGTGCTAGAGCCAGCATTCCAGCTGCCAGCGGTGCAGCAGCAGACGTTCCAGTATGTCTATTTGTACATCCAGTTCCTGAACCCATTCTCCAGTCAGTGGTTACCTGCGTCAATCAATTTTAAACGTATTAAAATCTGAGGTATCTAAAATCTGAGGTATATAGAACGTTTTTTGTGGCTAAAAATTTCGAGCAAAAACAACACACATTTCGCTTTGACATAAGACCTCCACGTCAACGTTCTGCACTGTTTTTCTTTCTCTGAGATACCCCAGATTTTGTTGCTATTTTGAATATATGTGCTTTAGTAGTATAAGCAACAATTAATTGCATGCAATTGTTTTGCTAATGTTATAATAATTCATCTTTCATGATATTGTATACTATTATCTATATTTCCCTTTTTTTACACTAATTCCTACATATTCTAACTTTACTAATTTTACTATATTATATTATAACTACTGTATTACTGCCACCATTTTTTTCTGCTAATTTAAAACATTTCAGTGGACCTATTTATGAAAAGTATATTGTACAGCTAACTGACTATATATAGTTTAGCACATAATGGTATATTTCAGTTAGCTTGTACCTTCAAAAAAGTATAATTTAATTATGTCTTATTAATATAGTAATTGTAATATCTGGTACTCAATAAATGGTCATTGTCATTGTCATTGTCGACCCGGATTATTTTTTTATTTGAAAACGGGTGCTTAATGATTCTGGTTCGGCACTCTGACCACTGATAGAGAGCGGTTCCGATTTCACTTCCACTACAGCTACCGCTACCATTAGGGATCATTAATAACCAATAAGATGCGTTTGATATATCCGATTAACCAATCAGATGCGTACGATCAGAGAGAGGAAGTTGTAGTGGAAGTCAAATCTGAACCTCGCTAATGTACTGTAAAAAACTTACAATATTTCTCAACGGGGCTTGCCCACTGCTATATGTTGTAGCCAACATGGAAGCACAATTTTCAGCATAGTAAGGCATTTCACCCGACTCGTCCACAGCACCTACAATATTAAGAAGGGAGTATTTCGTATCTTACGTAACAAGCGCTTAAAAATAATGAATATACTTTTTCACTTGGTTATGACTATATATTCATTTTTTTAATTTCTGGTATGTTTCTCAAGCGGCAAACAAACTTAAAAAGTATGTTTAGTGATTTTCTGCAAAATTATGCGAAAAATGAAGAGATTTTAGATGGTACACCAAAGAGAAAATGATGTCTGAAGTTATACATGCATATGGCGTCAATTTTACAACATCAATGATAATTGTATTTAAATTGACAATATTTAACTATTATTTTGTGTTTCTCAACCGCCAGATACATTAAGGTTGCTAACCTTGTAAACTACAAAATAAAGCTAAAACAAAGGAATTTTGAGAGGAACGCCAAAAAGATTTTAAGTTTTGAACACTTTTCATCGCAAATACGTGACAAAACCATCATTATCCCTACCTATTGTCAAAGTGAAGATGGAATTTGCATATCCATCAAAGTTGCAGTTATCCTTATAGTTCCCGCCATTCCCAGATGCCACTACATAAATACTTCCCAGTCCACCTCGGCCTTCTCTAACACCATGAGCAAGGGCAGCCTAAGAATACAGCATGTATAGGATGAAAGAGTTATTTGGTCAACAAGAATTGGCTGGTTATCAAGCCCACATCACACAAGAATGAGCCCTGTTTCAAACGTCGCGCTTCTCATATGCCGAACGCATTAAAAACAATGGATAATCAGCTGAAATGCCTCATTACCTATTGTTTCTATTGCGTTCAGCACATGAGAGTGCATGAGAGTTGACAGTCACGTGACCTTAGTTAGCTGTTCTTAATGCTTCCCCGACACTATCATGTATTCTATTTAAGATTTTTTCTGTGTTGGTGATATGTTTGTGATGTTACTCCGAGTCTCTGAGTGTATATCCACACCGGGCAAGCTACGCGGTAGCTCAGTTGGCAGAGCATTGGGCTGGTATTCCAAAGGTCGTAGGTTCGATTCCCACCGTGGCCAGGCATATTTTTCAAGCTTGCCCGGTGTGGATATACACTCAGAGTAACATCACAAACATATATCATTGGAACAATCATCAAAGCTTTATTTTGCTAATCTAGAGCTTGAAATGTCCCCTGTAACAATACGGGACTGCCAACTCTCATCAATGGCGTGCTTTTCATGTGCCGAAATTATTTGACGAATTACGTATGACAAAAGAGCGATGTGTGAATTAAGTACGGCAGAATTTGGAGAGGCAAAAGTTCGACACAAGTCCGGCAGAGGCTGTCGCATTATGCGACGTTAGAGTGACATTGATTCATACGCCGCTAACCTAACTCATTTTTTTTTTAATTGTTAGTATTAGGTTAGCAATCTTGTAATTTTTTTAAAATTCGCCCCAACCTTGGGTGTCCACCCTTTATTCAGGACAGGAAAAAAGAATTTTCTTCCTGGGAGCACAACCTGGAGACAAACATTTTCCGCAGACCAACGGAGTATTTTTGTGCTAAATCTACATGTGCATAAACATATAGTGTTCTAGCTGACCATGGTTTTAAATTCAAAGAATGTCTGTCAACCATATGTTGTTGCGCCCATAGTGGGACATGGGTGTTAAGGTTTCCTTCAAATTTTCAATAGCAAATCTTCATTCAAACGAATTTCCTGCAGCTGTTTAACGTTTCCTGCGAGCAGTGCTCGCCTATTTTTTCCACCCCTAGCCCTGCTTTTATTGAAGATGAAATCCAAGTACTAAATATTCCAAGTCTCTCACGCACGTTTTTTTATTAAATTCAAGGATTAATAATACTGGAAAATCTTTGAAAATGGCACGGATTTTGCTTTGTGAAACACAACCATTTATTCAAAATCAATAGTCTAAATAATGTTCAAGTATCATCATCAGATGATAAAAACTAAAGACTAAAACAGCGGGTTAAATTTTAACCCAGGGTGAGCGCTAAACCAGCTTTGAACAACCAGACCTTGTTTTGTATTAATAGTTTAGACGTTCTCTGGTTATTAAAGATTTATTAAACGAGCTTTCGACTGCCAGTCTGCAGTTTTCAACGGGCAAGTGATAATGAGTTACTGTTGTTTTGGTTTGTGTATTTTTGCATGTCTATTTGTTCCAAAACTCCAGAAAAGAACTCTCATTGATCCACATAAGATTTCTGAAGAAATATTTCCAAGTTTATAAACAAGCTGTTGGGAAGTTTGCCGTGAATTTTAGGTTAACCACTTAACCTAGGGTTAGGCTAACCGGCTATTGGACAACCAGTGCCAGGAAAGAAACTCCAGGACTTACAGGATGAATTACAGAATGGGAAATTAAATATAAAGCAGTCTTATATACCTGTGCTAACTGATGTGGGCCATCCACTGTCTTGCCATTGTCATCTGGACCCCAACTGCAACTGTATATATCATTCACCTGGTCTTTCATGTTAAACGCCATTGCTTCAAGACTGTCCGTCATTGGACCGTCCAAAATACGGACACCTAGAAAAAGGTTTATATTCAGGCGCTGCTACAAGATGCACTGTAGTGCAATGTACTGTTAGTGGTACATTATAAGCATTATTGGGTTCTTTTTTGGAGATGGAATTTTCGAACGCAAAAAATGTATATAAATTTGTGTTCGAAAATTCTATCCACAAAAAATCTACTATTAGTATAGGTATCGAACAAGATGCCCAAAAAATTTCGACATTCACCAATTATCAGCATGATCTTGGAATTGGTCACAATCAGGAGCAGATCTACAATGGGGTGCAGGGAGTGTGCACCCACCTACTGGTGTCTAGAACCACCCTAAAAATCAATCTGCTTGACCATACATTTTCTGCTTTTCGAAAACGATTAGCGAATGTCTACTGTTAGCGCGTATCGATTTCTTGAAACGATTTAATTGATTTGTGAGCTCACCAGAAAACATGCAGAATGCTAAATAGTTAAATATCATGGTTAAATATGCAAACATGTCGAGGTTGTGAAACAGCCATATTTTCAAATATACAGTACTGTACTATGTACAGCAACTGTCCAGTCACACAAATTCAATAAAAAGCCAATATAAACTCTATAAACGAAAGATAATGTAAAACGTAACAGAACGGCGAACATGCAGATTCGACCATCGCAAATAATGGTAATATTGGGATAGTAGCAATGCAGACTGCAGAGAAGAGTGGACAGTAAGGTTCCCTCATGCACCATCCCATGGAAAACCTGCACCCCACTTTGCAGATGAGGCCAGGGCCGCCGAGAGGGGGGGCAGGGGGGGGGGGCAAATTGCCCCAGGCCCCGAGGTGCTGGGTGCCCCTGAAAATTTTTTGTTGGGCCCCAGTCTTTTTTGTGTGTTAAATATTTGTGCGCAAAGGACAAGATATCTGTTTTATTTGGCTAATTACCGAAATAAGGCATAGAAAAATGAGATAAAGTCCCTGGAAAGTATCTGCAACGTACTCGTCCAGAAATTTTTTACTCCGGAAAAAATTTCTTACCCCTAAAATGGTACACTGACTTAAATTTTTTTGGCAACCGGGGGGGGGGGGATCCGACCCTGGCCACAATTATTGACAAGTGGCATGAAGTGCTACACAGAGTCAAAGTTTTGATACATTTATTCCTGGTTAATGTTTCGGGTTATTTCAATGAGGAGATGCAAAACTATCTCAGGAAAGGTGCTCCCCTCAGAATGTGTCCATGATTATCATTCTAGTTCTGTCATACCTGCGACTTTGGCTCCGTAAGCCACGCCAACAGCACAATACGTGTTAGCCACGGCAGCAATTTCACCAGCACATCTGGTACCATGGTGATTCAGACCCACGTCATCAGCACGAGGTGTCGGGTCTGGATCGTTGGAATTAAGATCCCAGCTTCCCTCAGATGACTAGATGTAATCATATTGTATATAATTAACCCAATTAGGTTGCATTGAGCCTGAATGCAAGGCTTTCAAAACGCAGCAAGATCTCGCTTACTGGGCTGTCTCGCTTAACAAGGCCAGGCTGGCTTCCAGATTAACAGTCCCTAAGGCACTCAGATATTTCTAATACTGTAGAGTGTAGTGTAGCTACTGTAAATCAGAAACTGACAAAAAAATTGCACCCTCACTATGAACCCTATACTTTATTATTTTCATATTCATTTTCACATTATTTTCATTCATATATTACCAAGTCCAAGAGGAGAGTGCTACCACTCAATGGGTTAAACATATATTGAAATATCACAAATTTTAGTTTATGTACAGTATATAATTAGTATTGTTTCAATCCATAGCTTGGATTTCTCATTTTTTGACTCACATCTTTGTGGTTACTTGAGTGTGCGGTGAGTGTGGGGCAGTTAATTTAAACAATGGGAAATGACCAGCCTGCTATGCGCTTGCCTGCAAATCGGGCCTTTCACAACCGGAAATCGGGCTGCAGCACACGTTCGTTCTTTTGATTTGGCAAATGAAGCATGGCAAATGAGTGAAATGGCAAAATTTGCATGGTACCCAGTTTGCAAAAACAACTGCAAACTGCTCTAATTCTTTCTGTCACTTAATTTAATTGATCTTATCTGTGAGTCGGCCTCAACAGCCTTTGATTTTGGACTTTGTTTTGTCTTACAGTATATTAACCCATTGAGTCGCATTGCGCCCGATGCGCCCTACTTTATTATTTTACTCTGTCTACCGCCATCTGACAATTTTACTCGTCAAGGGGAGAGGGCTGGTGCTAACTTAATGGTTAACTGGCCTATCTGCTCATGTGTCTAGTCAAACCCATTGAGTCGCAATGCACCATACTTTATTATTTTACTCTGTTTAACGCCAGACAATTTTACTCGTCAAGGGGAGAGCGCTGGTGCTTAATGGGTTAACCCATTGAGATCATGGCCTGGAGAATCTTGCACATTAAACCAGCTCGTCACCACTTACATAGTTCTCAAAGATATCAGGATTTGTCCATTCAACACCTAAAACATAAATTACATAGAGAATAATACATGGGTGCGGGAAATACCAGCTTTATTTCGAGTGTTGAACATGATATCTCACGAGTGAGCGCAGCGAACGAGTGAGATATCATGTTCAACACGAGAAATAAATCTGGTATTTCCAAGCACCCATGTATTTTTCTGTTTATTATATAAACAAAATTCAGTGAAAAACAATAAATCGTCCGTGGCAATGCGTTTTACAACAAATGATATTTTCACACGTAAAAATATCGTATTTTTACGTGTATTTAAATACGATTTTTCTCAGTGGCCAAAAAGTCTATATAACACTTATGTTTATATAATAAATAAGTTTATTCGTTGGCATTTCAAAAACATATTTTTACTTCAGAGCCAACCATTGCCAAGCACAGGTTACAGCCATGAACCTACCATCATCGACAATAGCCACGACAACTCCATGTCCAGTTATGTTATGTTCCCAAACTGTCGTTACATTGATGTCATGACCAAGATGCTGCAAGTTGTTCTAAAAAGTTTAACATAAACATCAAATATATGAACTCACCCGCATTTTGGAATCATCACCATGGGCAGATTTACTGGGGGCAGGGCTTAGAAGGGGTTAACCCCCCTCCTTAGAATCTCTCTGACCCCTCTAATAAAGTGTTCAACCTCACCAAAATTTCACTTCACCCTTCCTATTTTGTATGAAAGGCTTTAACCCAAATGCCTAACCCCTGCTGAAGCTCACCGAGTGGTGCCGCTTGCACCCCACCAGAACTTTTTCTACCCCTCCTTTTAAATCAATGAAAATCCTCCCTTGATCATCACCCACGTAAATTCACCCGCATTCATTGAAATTCACACACATCATCAGATGATAATTCTCCGTAGGAGATTTTGTAGGAGAAGAGGCTATGCTGAACTATTATAGCCTTACACTTAAACCATGATCTCAAAGCACAGAATATATTCTCTATTCTATTGTAGAACCCCAGAAGATATGTATTTCTTTTGTTTAGTTTTGACCGAACAGTTGCAACTTTATAAAACTTTTATTTATACCCTTTTACAAAACTTTACAAAACTTTTATTTAACCCTGTATTCTGTAACTTCATTCTAAATATATTTGGGGACTTCAATTTACGTATTTTAAACAAGAACAGAAACGTTGTTCTCTTTTTGGCTACAAAAGCTAGTTGTTATTGGCATTGGGGTTGTTACAGTGTTTCAGTGTATTGGCATCACCAGCAATTTAGGTACTTAATTATTAACGTTCACATCTCTGAAACATGAATTCAAGTCACTGCTAGCCAGGGGAGGTACTGTAACAATGGCCATAATTTTTTTTTTTAAATATTTTTTTCATGTTTTTTTCAATAAATTTAGTGTGACAACAGACACCATTTTGGCAGCAGCCCGCAGCCACCCGGCGAAAATAGGGTCGCACGGTCAATCGCGTTGAAAAAATAATAGGGTCGGCAAATACATAATGTGCAATGTTTTTTCACAGACATCAATCCAGATTTCATCCTCATTTTCCTTTTCATCACAGGTTCAAGACTGACCCCCTCCTCCCATCGCAAAACATGTCCGCGATTGGTGGACGATATCTATTTGTCGATGGACCCTAACCGGAATAGCTTGTCTAAACACCAGGCCATCCTGACCAACCGAGCAGATATATAGACAACATCTAACTCACCAAATGCCATTGGCTTGGAAAATACTGATCTTTAAATCTCAGACTTCTTTTGTATCTTTGCCTAACCCGCTCTCTGATGGACCATTCCACTTCAGGATGTCGCTGTAACTGTTCAGTAATCCTGTGTAAAACGCTCTTTAACTCCGAAATATCGTTCAAACCATTCTCCCTGTAAAACGTTTCGTGTACAAGCAGAAAATGTCCACGTAAGCCACCAATTTGTCCGTGAAAAGACAAGCCTGTTTCCCTTGCAATTTTCTTGGCCATCTTGCGAAGATTTTCATCGCTTACTCCATCTTTAAGCGGGATCCGTATTGCCCAAGACGAAGCCATATTGCCGGACTCAAAATTCGACTCATTGTTCGTTGCGATTGTATGAGAAATACAAGTTAATAGCAAAACAATCGAAAGCAATTTTGCTCTTGCTAAAAAATTACAGCATTTTTCGAGGACCATAACAGATACATCTACATAGCCACAACGCCATCAACTTAGTTAAACTAAAACCTAGAATCTCGAAGAACATAAAAGCAGTCACATATTTCAGTTCCAAGCAAAAGCACAGCTTAGATCATCAGGTTTTTGAAGCCAAATCCAAGCGATCTGGCAGCCATGTTTGCTTCTTTGCAAACAAAGAACTGGTGACCAATTTCAAACAGCGTCATTCAAAACACGCGCCAACAAATTTGAACACGGAAGATCGTGAAAACGAAAAAACACGAGGCAACAAAAATTAGCACACGGAAAACGTGAAAACGCAAAGCAATCTCAACCGATTTCCTAAAGCGGGCAATCCAGGAAAAAATTACACATGTAAAAATCTCACATCTTGTAACAAGTCTGCCAACAGCCGTCAACAAGATGCATGTATTCGCACTGTTTGTCACAAGTTGTCAACAGGTTTGGAACAACTTGTCGACAACTTGTAACAACCTTGTCGAAATTATCAGACTTGTTGCAAGGTTGTTCTGACAAGTGCGTTACATGCTTGATATGACAAGATTATTACAACCTTGTGTTGACAACCTTGTAACATTCTTGTTATATCATGGCTGTAACAAACTTGTTAGCACAGTCTTGTAACAAAGCTGATAATGCCATCAAGCTTGTTACAAGTTGATAACAGCTTGTTTCAAACTTGTTGCAACAAACTGGGAACAAGCAGTGCGAACACAACTTGTTGACAGCTTGTGAATAGACTTGTAACAACTTGTTTGCAGACTTGTTACAACTTGTGCGTTTTTATGTGTGTAGTATGCGAACCCAGACGTTCCAGATCCGCTCATGGCAAACTAACATTCCAATGCCAACATTCTTGGGCGCGGGCATAATGGAGTATGGCAAATTAATTAACGGAACTGTGAACCACGGAACTACGGAACTGATGTGGAACTTATATTAATATCACCTTTTTCTGTTTGTATAAACATTGCTCCTTCAATAATTTGAGCGTTTTTAGTTTTACACGATTTTGTTCTATTTCATAAAATACAATACATCAGATGACGATGACTAAATAAAGTCGAAACGTTGAATCAAAATGCCTACTTTATTCGGAGTTACCGTTGTGTTGTATTTCATGAAAATACTCAGTGGTTCCCGCAATTGTTCTATTTCGCTTGTATATATTCTGTTTTGACAATAGAAATCGAAAACATGTCACTTTGGTGGTGTTCTTCATGTTTTCGTTTGGAAAGCTGATGGAAAGTGGATGCCAGAAATAGTATAAATCTTTGTCCGACTTTTGCGAGCTCAGTACATAAAAGAATACCTGAATATCAACAAATATCTTAGAAATAAAATCAGAATTTAATCATGACAATGTGCACGAGGCCAAGTTTAATTTAAGGGACACAACGCCGTTATTTTTATTGCGAAAGCTGATTTCTAAGGGGGGCGTAGATTTAAATTGTTAAAAAATACAATTAATACAAATTATGGTCATACATTACATTACAGTTAACAATTACAATACATTTACAAATACAACTAGTATATAATTATTTACATATTAAATTAATGTTAGTACTATGTATTATTCTTATAGTAATTAATTAATTAATTGGCCAGGTGTCGTATACATGAATTAAACGAAGAGAATGTTTGTTTCTTGCTTCATCTGAAAGGCTGTTCCACAATTTTGCTCCTCTATAACTAAGACTTTTTTTGAGATATTCAGTCTTAGGTTTGGGCAAAAAGATAACGTAGCGTATGTATGTAGCTAGGTTTCACGAAGATTAAAAGAAACCTGAAAAAAGTGTTTAATGTTTCTTGAATCGTGAATTTTTCTAATATTCCTCAAAGTGCGAGACAACAATGGGCAATTTGACCGTTTATATAATTTTTACGCATGTATGAAACATGTGTCAAACGACAAGGAAGTGTGACATGATTCCTTAACCTGGACTCTCTCATAACGTGTACGGTGTGAAAAGTGGAAAATATTTCTCGACTATCTCAAAAATATTGGTCAGAATTTAATAACGCGAGTACGTGTGCACGATTTGCATCAGCATTCTGCAGTGGCGTTCCAAAAATTTCATCTCGGTTCCGGTTCCGGGTTTTTTGGAACAGAAAAACCTCGGTTCGCTTCGGTTTTCGGTTATTTTCAAAAAAGAAGAACAGTACAAATGTATGAACTCATTTATGTATGTTTTGAACATTTTTACTAAATTAGATGAATTTATATGCAGCCTTTGTAAAAATCTTGTATAAATCTCTGAATATTTTAAAACAACAATTGGAATTTATTTATGAACATGAAATATTTCTTTTTAAAAAGCAAGTACACAACAATAAACAACAAAAATATCAACTATTTGAGCACTTAGTACAGTGCATATTGTGCACAAAGAACACAATCTTGTTATTTTCCAAACATTTCAACCTGAAATCAGGTGGGCGTTTGGCTGGCGTTAAACGGAGCCTTCTCTTTGTTTTGTGATTTCTCGGGTGGAACTAATTCGAAAAGACAAAGAGAAATTCCGCTCCACGCGGAAAATTCCGCCTAGTGGAAAACGGCCTTTAAAACCGAAACTACCGGTTCTTTTGCGCATAATTTTTCGGTGCTAAAAAAAGTACCGGAAGAACAGAATTTTTCGCTTAACCGCACAGCTCTATCCCAATCCCCCACTCCTTGATTCCCTACTTCCCCACTCCACATTTCCCCACTTGCCGCTTCTCAAACTCCCCTTTTGCTGCACTACCTGTTGAACTGTGCCTGGCCATATATAAGGAACGTGTGTGTTTAATTTTCGCAAATTCTCATATTCTATAGCCAATAGCGTTCTTGTGATGCAACGGATACGCGTCACAATGCATATAGGCACGACTCTATATGAAAAGCCCATTTAAACGACGCACTGACAGTCTGTACAGAACAAACGTCGTAGACATAGATGTTATAATTATCATTTTTTTGAAAACATCAATATCTGGCGAAAACATGACTGATAATCACCATGCCTATGGTTTGTTGGCGATTGGAGTTTGGTTGTTGATACTGACAGCGATCTCTGTGATTCGTGGTTGTATGGTAATATACACATGGGCCAGCCCAGTTGCTACCACTGTTGGTTTCTGGGCAATTTATGTAAGTATAATTATCTATTTTCGTTTTTAGGGAAGCCTCGCGGACAAAACTAGTATAGAAGGGTCGTAGAAGCGGGATTCCAGTGAAGCGATCGAATTACGGTAATTTGTAATTCGATCGTATCATCACAGACATGCTTTAATATAATTGATGTTACCTATCATTTAGCAATATAAATATCCTAAAATTCCAAAATAATTAAGACGATAAAACGCTTATAAAAGTTGTCAAATTGCTTCAAAATGTACTCACTTACTATCAACTTCCCACTGTTAATTGCATATCGGCATTTTCGGAACGTATATATTTAAAAATTACCTTGAACTTTCTTTTGCTGCCTCATCTAATGATTGTTTATCCCTGAAGGCAACTGTTTCTGAATAATACCCTCTTAAAACCTTTTCTATTGAACACTAAATATAGCATAAGCTTGCAATTAAGATAAAGGTAATCACAGGAGGCCAAATTTGAACAATTGACGTTGTATGGACACAAAAAGGATTAAAATTGTTTTAAAATTCGATAGAAATTTATCATATCACTGTAAAAATCTTCTAACAACTGTTCGAACGTAGCAATAAGTGTTGAACAAAGCTTGCGAGACTCGCACTACAATTTTAGTGCTTTTGAGACCATTACAATTATCTAATGGGGGCCTCCTAAGGATAGGACAAAATCTGCGAATAATTAAAAGGTTAAAATTAAGGGTACTATTTAACAGGTATTTAATGACGGCTAAAAAAAAGCTGTGATTTTGCTAGACCTAGACAATTTCTTCTTGAACTTTTTTATTATTCGTAACATCACGTTGAATCAGTGGTGGCGCCAGGAATTCCCCGACAAAGGGGCAGGGCCTAAGGTGAACGTGAATTTTGCCAGGTGAACATAAAAATATTTCTGGACATTAGCTACATTTTCTTTTGCGTTAACGTATCGTTATATTCGTCTAGTTTTTCCTTCATTTTAAATTTCTACAAATTTTAGCTAAAATTATTACTTTTTAATCACTCTATTTTAGTAGTTTTTCCCTTCTTGTCCAACTCATGTTTTGCCTGACTACGGAAACAATTTGCCAACTTAGATTCAATAATTTGCGGACTACCTGACGA